GACTCTATACAGTAGTGTTTGAAGTTTTTCTCAGTGTTGGGAGCTGCTAATGTGAATTGGGCCTTTGTGTTGCAATGATGTAAATTGGTTCAATGACTATCAGTATGCTGTCTCTTGTATGTTCTCAATATATATAGTCATGGGCTTCAAATTAACTGCAATAGCAGAACCTAGTATTTTCTCATCCAGATATCAAGAAACAAGAATTTGGACCAAGGGATATCCAAGGGAGCATGCCCTTGGATATCAATGGCACAGAAACGTAATAGTGTTATGAATCAGGCTATTTTGGAGCAGTGTCTTATTTTAAGTTTAAAGACTGGCAACATTCATTTTAGAATCTTGGTGTCACTTGATGAATACACATCCATTGATTTTCTTTTCCACTGAAATGCATTCCTTGTAACACTTGGTCTTGTTTTATATGCCCAATGATTTTGGGGGTTTTGGAGGATATCAGTTGAGTTAAAGAATATGAGTGTCAAGATCAGTAGTGGGAATTGTATGGCCCTACAGCTGTGCAATAACTGACAGCACAACTAGTATAACTAACACAAGCAATACTTCACCAAATTCAACGAATCATGAGCTATGCAATGTCTTGTGAAAGGGCTTTCTTGAGGCAAATTAAAGTATCACTTTTAACACTTGTGTGAGGCTGTAAATGTATTGACCTAAATTAAATTGTTTACAACACCTATTTGTAGACCCCTTGAATCAATGAATTTTTCTAAGTGTTGACTTACTAAGTCACCATTGATTCAAAGGATCTTTTTTAGTTTAGTCTAACTGTTGAATTTATATGCATTATAGATAAAACATTTTTTCCAGGTTGGAAACCAGCCTACAGTTCTCTGGGAGCTGCTGCCAGTAGAGAAATAACTGATAAAACTCTGATGGATGTGTATTATCATTTAAACGACACATAGATTGCAGCATTGGATTATGGGCAAGTAGGGCTGTCAGATATTTCAGAAACAAAGACATAAATTCACAGTGGGATGATGTTGTGATAAAGACTTCCTGAAATCCAAGGTAACTTTGTTAAGACAGTAACATAACAACTAGGATTTTTCTTGATATTATATTACAGATGATGTTTGGTTTCCAAGTACCTTTATTGGAAAATGTCAGCTTGTAATCATATTGCACTGTTGAAGTTTCTACAGGCTATGATTATGTTGCTAAGTAAATGTATGTGTTTAATCAACAAGTCTATCATTAAAGCAACACAATAAAATCAGAAACTATCATTTATCCTTTAAAAATAACCTCACAAACCAACATGTTGCAATTTCCCAATTTTACCTGCCACAGTAAATATTCAGACAGCAACATGGACAAAGCAACCAGTTAAGGTTTGTCCGGTATATGGCTAATAGAGTTAATACTATGAAACTGTTTATTTACAACAACATTTCATATGGGTTCTTGGCTAGAACAGTACATTCCATTGGCATAAATAATGAATGAAGCATCATCAGATAAGATAAATTAAAACAATAAAAATGAACATGAAAAGAAACAGAGATAAAACACTTTATCATAGATGAGAGGCAATGAAAAACTAAGTGGAATAAGGATGACCAATATCTTTAAAAGGAGGAGGGGTCACATAGGATGGCTCTATTTAATTTTTGGGGATTCCCCTTTCTTCTTCCACAATCTTAAATGAGGATCCCAGATCATACATTTAAGATTTTCAAGGGATTCTGGGAGATACTGGAGAAAGCTGGCACAGGGAAAGTTGACTCTTGGCATTCTCAACAGTGCAACCTTGGATATTACTGAGTATTTTCATTGTCTGCCTAAATGGCATCTCCATCTTTATGCATGTCTAGTGTGGAACACATCTCACCACACTAAAACAGTGGATGTGGCTCTTAATGAGACATGCTGCATTATCATGGGGTGTCTGCGCCCTGCACCACTGGAGAAATTATACTGTTTAGCCAGTATTGCACCACCTGACATCCACTGGGAAGTAGCAACCAATAGTGAAAGGATCAAGGCAGTGACATCTCTGGCCCACCCCTTGTTTGGGTGTCAGCCAGCACGCCAACGACTTAAATCAAGAAATAGTTTTTTAAAGATCTACAGAGACACTTGCTGGATAACCTCAGGAAGCAAGAGCCCAGAAGTGGCAGGCTCAAACCAGAACCTCAATCAATGGCTGATACCAAATGAGAGACTCACTCCTGGGCACACAGAAAACTGGGCAATTTGGAAGATGCTGAACAGACTGCACTCTGCCACCACGAGATGTAGAGCCAATCTTAAGAAATGGGGCTACAAAGTGGAATCCACAACATGCGAGTGTGGAGAAGAGCAAACCATAGACCACCTACTGCAATGCAATCTGAGCCCTACCACATGCACAATGGAGGACCTCCTTGCAGCAACACCAGAGGCACTCCAAGTGGCCAGCTACTGGTCAAAGGATATTTAATAGGATACCAAGTCTGCAAACTTTGTGTTTTGTTTGTTTGTTTTTAGTGCAATACAACTGTTTTGGTTCGGTCCTGACATGACAAATAAATAAAAATCTCCATCTTAAAATAAGTTTTATTCCCTTCCTTTGAAAAAACTCACAAGGTAGCGTCAGCCCCACGGTGTTTCAGCAAATATATTTCCAATATGCTCCAGAAGAAAGGATTAGAAATATCTAAGATTAACTAGTTTTGTGGGAAAGAGGCTGGAGATAACGAGTCAGTCTGAAGACCCTACCCAGTAATCCATTTCTTGTTATACTTTTTCCATCAGGTTTTTGCGCATGAGATAATCACTGTGGGCAGGAATGGACCAAAACATTTTGCTGCCTGAGGCAGAACAAATGGTGCCCAACTCTCACTCAAGTCAAAATGCAGATCACTCAAAATTAGTCAAGCTATGTGAGTCCACCTCATAGAAATATCCATAAGGAGTTATTTACCTCTCTGCAAGTTAAGGTACAACAGAAATTAAGCACATATGAATTTTATGCCCTTCAACATAGAGTTTCCTGAACTGGAGACTTCATTCTGCCTAATGGTCAAGATGAACCTGATTGTGGGTTGCTCTGAAAACACATCAGGCTGGGTACCAAAAAGAAAGCTATACTCCATGGGAAGCAACAATGTTGCTTAATTAGTCTCAATGACTAGGTAATACTTGTAATAATACAAAGCACTAGGGACAGAAAAAAAATTGTCAGTTTTCACTCCTCACCAGAAAAAAAAGGGCTTCCATATCACTCCAGCAGGAATAATTGACCGGCAAGAAAGTTGTGCAATTTTCTCCTGGTATTCAGCATCTTAAAATACAGAAGAATGGAGAAAAGCACACGAGCACAGCAAAATAGTTTTTTTCTACATGTTTTTCTCCTCTGTAAAATTACTCTACAATACTTTGAGACAGCATAATATGAAGATAAAACTGCAAAGTTGTTCTACTGCAATATAAAATCTATGGTAAATATTCATTTTTACATGCAAAGAAAATATAATTAAAGATTTTCATCCCTAAAAAACACAGTAAGTTTCCAGAAATCTTAAAGGAAGACATACCTTGCTATGTGATGTATCTCAGAACATCTCACCACCTGGAGAAAGTGGGAGATGTAAATATTTAATTTTACATAGTAGAGGAAAGTATGTAAAATAGACTATGGGCAGTATAAATATTGCTCTTGGACATCTGGATAACACTGATTCTACATCTGGCTGGAATTGACTCACTTAAGAAAAACCCTATGAACACACACAATTGAGTTTTTCCCCTCTTAATAGAAATGGATTTTTATAAAACCTGGAGGACTATCATTCACATATATATCACATCTACAAATGTTGGCTTCAGGGAATGGAATCCAATATCTCAAAAACAGATACTTTTAATAAAATGCCCAATCCCCAAAGAAACACTTTATAGACATATGTTGTATCATTTCTTCTTTTTGCTGCAAGCAAACACATTCACCCATTAGAAAGAAAGGAAGTTCAGCTTCATTCGGCCTATCAAACATAAACAACAACAGAAACACACACAAACCATCACCACTTGTACCCAAGAGAGAATTGTGTTCCACATGGCCATGTTTACTTTTTAGATTTTAATTTGTCACTTATCCTAGAGATAATAGGCTTGTTTATGTTCCAGATCCATTTTGCAATAATGAAAGCAAACGAAAATGTTTTCAGCAGGGCCCAGAGAAGAAGAACATTTTATTCAGATGATCATTAGTTGTTCACCTAGGTAGCAATTGTAGTCTTCTGATAACAGAAGCATTTTGTTACGTACTGGGGAAAATATTTTTAGTAGACAACTATTGCAAAAAGAAAAGAAAGAAGCTGGATTTTTTTTACAGCGAATTTGTATTTGTTAGATCAGAAAAGTCCATAAATTCTGCCATAAATATGTTGAAGGCAGAATTTACATTAATACTACCTAAGCTAAATACCACCAGAGCCCCCGGTGGAGTAATGGGTTAACCTGCTGAGCTGCTGAACTTGCTGTTAGAACAGTCACAGGTTCCAATCCGGGGAACGGCGTGAGCTCCTGTCATTAGCCTCAGCTTCTGCCAACCTAGCAGTTTGAAAACATGCTGACTGAAAGGTTGGCAGTTCAAATCCAGGGAGCAGGGTGAGCCCCTGCTGTTAACCACAGCTATTGCCAATCTAGCAGTTCAAAAACATGCAAATGTGAGTGGATGAATAGGCACCGCTCCAGCGGGAAAGTAACCGCACTCCATGCAGTCATGCTGGCCACATGACCTTGGAGGTGTCTATTAGGCCTGGGCGGTTTCGTTCGTTAATTTTGTAATTCGTTATATATTCGTTATTTTTAGCATATACGAAACGATTACAAAATACATTTTTAAACCCGGAAGGGTTTAAAAATAACGAACCGGCAAACCCCATTGTTTTAACGAGCTTCCGCCCGTTTCGTTAATGGGATGGAGGCTGCTGGTGCCCTGGGAGCCAATCCGGCGCTCCCAAGCAGTGCACCGTGGCTGTTTTTGATTGGCTGGCGAGGTGGAGGTGCTCCAGCAAGGCGGCAACATCGAGCGCCTGGGCCGCTTCCTGTGGTCGCGAGCACCTCCACAAGAACGAGAGCGTCCTCAAGGCCAAGGCCGTGGTGGCCTTCCACCGGGGCAACTTCCGCGAGCTCTACAAGATCCTGGAGAGCCACCAGTTCTCGGCCCACAACCACCCCAAGCTCCAGCAGCTCTGGCTCAAGGCGCACTACATCGAGGCCGAGAAGCTGCGCGGAAGGCCGCTGGGCGCCGTGGGCAAGTACCGCGTCCGCCGCAAGTTCCCGCTGCCCCGCTCCATCTGGGACGGCGAGGAGACCAGCTACTGCTTCAAGGAGAAGAGCCGCAGCGTGCTCCGGGAATGGTACGCCCACAACCCCTACCCGTCGCCGCGGGAGAAGCGCGAGCTGGCCGAGGCCACCGGGCTCACCACCACCCAGGTCAGCAACTGGTTCAAGAACCGACGGCAGCGCGACCGGGCCGCCGAGGCCAAGGAAAGGTAGGCCAAGGAACGGAGGGAGGACGGCAGGGAGGGTGGGTGGGAGGGAGGGGAGGAAGGAAGGGCTCGCTTCCGCCTGGGTTGATTTGGGGGACCACTCTGAGCCTCCTTTAGGAAAGAAAAGCGGCTACACATAAGTATCATCACCATCGCAATCACAATACCAAGACTATTAAGAAAAAAAGAACACGACCTGCCAGGAACCTCAGAGAGGGGAAATATAGAATCTTAAAGTTGGGAGAGACGCAAGGACCTTTCAGCCCAACCCCATTCTCATTCAGAAACACCTAGCTTTGATTCTTCTTTAGGAGAGAAAGCGGAATAGCAACAACAACAACAACAACAATCTAATGAAAGAGGGGCCTGGCCTTCCTTTCCCCAAGGAACCTTAGGAAGGGGAAAGCATAGAATTTTAGAGTTGTGAGAGACCATAACGGCCTCCAGATAAGGAGACTCCAATCCACTTAACAGTTCTTACCATCAGGTCCGCCATCTTTACAAAATGTTTTGTAAATATTTACGAAATTTCGTAAATACCGAAACTTTTTTTTGGAAAGTTTTGTAATTATTTTAAATATCGAAACAAAAAAACACCCCAATTACAAATCGATTTTAGAAACAAATTTTTTCTTGATCAACCAGGCCTAGTGTCTATGGATAACATTGGATCTTTGGCTTAAAAATGGAGATGAGCACCAACCCCCAGAGTCGGGCACAACTGGACTTCATGTGAGGGGAAAACCTTTGCTTTTACCTTAAATTACATCTCTTCTCACAGAGAATAGGAAGTCTTTGATACAGTCATGAAAAATATGATCCAGCAATCCTTTTTGTCATTCACTAAATGCATTTGGTTATGCTTTTCCTTTCTATTTGTATATATATATATATTAAAAAACCCTTTCCAGCTTCCAGTTCATGTTAGTAACTTGAGATGAAGCTTTTGCTCAAGGAGACAGAATATTTTACACACCAAGGATCCTAATCCCTTTCTAGTTTTCCCCATGTAATTCCTTTATGTAAGCAGGATGATAGTGAGGTTTCCATCCTTCTGGAAAAATTATTTTTGACAACAGTGAACATTGTCATTGTTTGCAGCAATTAGAAATGCACCATTTGTTAACTTTCTTAGCTGGAAGTTTTTCTCAAATGCTTCAAATCAGTTTAAACTAATATTACTATTTTTTCAGAGGTTCTCCATGAAAATATGACCAGTATTGTTTGTGCATGCATGTGAATGTTTACGTTAGGTTCAGAGAACTTCCTTTCTTAAGTAAATGGGTATGGAATAACCATAAAGGAATGTTATTCTTTCAATCCAAATGTAGCTCTGTCTTTCAGGAGATTTAAATAAATAATAGTTTGTGGGTGGACAGTACTGTTTTCCAATACCCTGGTCCACGTAACATTAGAATGAGAAGAGATCTTGCATGGATTAACAAACAGGCACTGAATTCCAACAAGATGGAGACCCTGTGGATGGGCAATTGATGGGCATGAGAATTTAGTTTGCCTATTCTAGAATAGGTTGCACTTCCTTAAAAGGTATAATTTTGTAGTTTGGAGATATTCCTAGATTCATAATTATCATTTTAGAGGTCCAAAGGATCTAGCAAGGACTGTCTTGTCACCAGTTTTAGCTCCTAAATCATCAGAATGATTTTCTGAACAGGGATAACTGGGCGGCTAGGGTTATTGAGATATACCCAAGTATTTAGATTACTCTAATGAGCTTTATGTGTGACCATTCTTGTCTTTAGTATGGCTACTACAGTTATGTAGAATGTTATGGTTAAATGGTTGTCCATATATTACACTTTTGAAAAAACTCCACTGCCTACCTACCAACCACCAAGCCCAGTTTAAGATCCTGTGGCTGAACGATATAGGCCTGAATGATTTGGGATTGGGTTACCTGACATATTGCTTTCCATAATTGATCATCAGAGGAACTCTTACTGGTCATGTAGATTTCAAACTAAGTAACACTCATTCATAATTTTCTGGTGGAAACATCCCTAAAAATGCTACAAACATTAATAAAAAATGGATTGACCCATTATTTTAGCAGGTTCATTGGGTGTAATTTTTCTTCAGAATCCAGCAATGAAACAGTGTTACATGATTTATCTACTGAACATGAACCATAAGTATATATGAAATCCATCTGTGGTGGCATGATCTGGGAACCATTTTAATCCATTTTTAGTAGATATTCATGACCTGATTTCAGATTTGACCATTAATTAATATTCACATTTGAATCACAAGGTTGAAATATTATTAATTCTGCCTTACATATTGTTAATTTTCACCTTACATTGATGTTTTTAGAATGATAAAGAGAAAAGAAGCTATAACTCATACAGGGTTATCACAGAAATATCTATTAATAATTGGTATAGCAAGTAGGCACGTGCAATCGTTAAAAAAGTGTCAAAAGTCATTACAAAATTAGGGGGCACTGGTGTTTCATTTCTAAAGTGTTTCTAATGTATAATTACTGATTTTTTTTACTATAACAAGTGTAATGATATGTTGTTACTATTGCACTATAGTAATTATGCAAGTGGGGAATCTTCAGGGGCTCCTTTCTCCCTCATTTTTACAGCTATTGGGATGGAACTTGCTACAATGGTAGAACACATTTACCACTGTTAGCCCATCAAGTTTTAGAAGGTTTCCCTTCTGAAACTTGGGGAAATGTCAAAGTTTTTATAAACAACATTTTTTAAAGCTACAAGAGCTATCTTCTTGAATTTTCTATGCAATGATACAAGATAACAGGGAATCATTCCCCCAACTTTCAGAAATATTCATACATCTACTGATTTTAGGATTTTTTAAAGTTTTGACAAAAACATTTTTCAAAAGCCACAACAGCTTTCTCGTTGAATGTATCTTCTTAACCATAACTGATAGAACTTCCATTTAGGGATTTCTTCCCACCTCAGCACAGAGATTTACTTACTAGAATCATAGAATCATAGAGTTGGAAGAGACCTAATGGGCCATCCAGTCCAACCCCCTGTCAAGAAGCAGGAATGCTAGAAGTATTAGTCCTCCTCCTTGCAGATTCAACAATTTATTGGAACTCTGGGCTGGCTGCTGCTATGGAAGGAAAATAGCTCTACCCTCTGCTAATTAGAGCTTTCTGATACTGAGCAGAATTCTGCAAAATTTAGTTTTGAATTCTCTGGCCTTCCCTTCCCAAACTACATTTCCCAGAATACTGTGCTTTCATTCTCAGTGAACTCTGCTTTCTCCCTAAGGGTAAGATGCCATTAATTTAAAGAAGAAAGGCAGCCTTTTTGGCTTTGCTTTGCTTCCTTGCACTGAAAATGAAACTGACTTTAGGAGGCTTCTGAGATTTACAAAATGCAAACTAAAAATATTGGATAAGTTTTGATTTTTAAGTTTTTGGCATAGGCCACACCTATGCATCATAAATATGAATTAACTTTATTTGTCATGTCAGGGCAACCAGTTAATTATATTACATTTCTAACAGAACAAAGCAAACAAACAGACATGAATTAACTAATTTGATATGACATACGATAACAAAAAAATCACATCCCAAATAGCTAATATAATATGAGACAGAGAAAAACCAGAAACAGCAGTTCCATTCAATTTATTCCAGGAAACTGCCATAACTAATAGCTGCAATACAAATGCTTATGTCCCCCAAACCAAAAGCTGTTATAAATCCTTGGAGCCCAAGACTGAATAACTCACTTGCTTTGAGAAGGAACACAAGTACTTTATAGATGATAATGTAGCTTAGTCTGTGAAGCATCTCTGAGGGACTCCATTACCTCCTATGGTTACTTGTTCTGCTGTTAACTTATCATGAGAATAGACAGGAAGCAGAAAAAATTACAGAGGGAAACCCATCAATCAAGGGTAGCTGTGATTAAAATCAAGCCTATACAATCCACTATTTTCAATGATATGCCATAACTTCCTTACTTAGCCCAACAGAGTCCAGCACTGATTCTCTAATCACAGGCATACAAATAGCAAGATGAGGGAACAAGTCAGGGGGCAGAGTTTAAATTTTAACTCTTGTTTTCCAAAGAGTAAACAATGAATAATACTTTTACTATCCCAAAAGGAGGAAATGCTCAGTAAATCTGCCATATTTCTTATTGGCAGCACATCAACTCATATGTGTTGATGGGCTACCAGTAAGAAAGGTACCTTTGAAATGGTAGAGTGAAAGCTGTGCTCCAGGTAATAGTTTCTGATGCAATTCACTATCCATGTCTAGTCTCTCCTCTCAGAATACAATGTCAATGTCAATCATGATGGTGCTGCAGAAGGGCAAAATCATATTTATTCAAGTTTAATGTGCCATCAAATCTAATGCACACCTCAATTTTCAAAACCTTGAAACCAAAGAAGTATTTGCTGACGAATGTAATGTGTAGCAGCAAAACATGCACTCTTTGTAATTTGGTCAAAGAAAGGTGCAAATTACTGTTGCTTCCTGCTTAGAATTCATTCATTATAAACAATTGTTTTTAGAACACCAAAGCTTCCAGCAATGGAAAATAAAACCTTGGGTGTATCTCTATGTTGTAGAATGAATCCAATTTTATTTCCTTGGTTCAATGTGATTTTTTTTTTGTCGTGTCAGGAGAGACTTGAGAAACTGCAAGTCGCTTCTGGTGTGACAGAATCTGCAAGGACGTTGCCCAGGGGATACCTGGATGATTTGATGGGTTTTTTTAAATTAAACTTGTGGGAGGCTTCTCTCATGTCCCCGCATGAGGAGCTGGAGCTGATAGAGGGAGCTCATCCGTCTCTCCCCGGATTCGAACCTGTGACCTGTCGGTCTTCAGTCCTGCCGGCACAGGGGTTTAACCAACTGCGCCACCGGGGGCTCCTGGTTCAATGTGATGGAGTCCTGTTAAACAATCCTAGCTTGACAAGGTTTTGAGCCTTCTCTGCCAAAGACTGCTGGTACCTCACCAAACTACCAATCTGAGGATTGCATAGCATTGAACCCT